ATCTGCAGTGCCATACTCTCAAGAGAGAACATACCGAGGACCTAAGCCTTCTATTCCGTTCTTATCAACATCGGATCCACGAGAGTTTTCAAGGTTGCGCATGGCTTTAGAGAATCTCCTACCCAGTGATGCATCTGAACGTTTCCGATATCAAATCCTCACAGATCATCTACAGTTAGAGGAGGCATTGCTAGTAGCAGACTCTTATTGCAACTCAACACACCCTTATACGGACACTATGCAAGCCCTCATTAACATGTATGGTCAGCCACACAAGCTGGTCCTGCAGAACATCGCTGAGGTCATGGATGGCCCCAATATCAGACCTGGAGATGTTGAAGCTTTCAAGCTGTTTGCGCTTCGAGTGCGTTCTCTGGTGAGCATGCTAGAACAGCTGGGTCCTGAAGGTAATGTTGAATTGGACTGTGGGTCACATGTTTCAAGACTGCAAAGCAAACTCCCTCATGAGCTGAGAACTAGTTTCAAGAGATATATACACCCTATGAGAGTAGTTATACCAACCCTCATCGATTTCTCTAACTGGCTAGAGTATGAGCTACAAGTTCAGGATGATGGCGTCAAAACTTCAGGTTTCACACCAGGCCCCAGCAACAAGAAAAGGCTGGAGTATCGTAATCCTAAGGCTGCCAGGAAACCCACAACCATCCTGCTAGGCACAGAGAAACCCATGAGTGGGAGAATAAGCCAACCACAATCCTCAGAGGTGACACCTAAATCTGCCAGGTTTAAAGGACGGTTAAGTGCATATTGCCCCTACTGTGACAATACCAATCACTTCTTGAATGGGTGTGCCAATTTCAAAGACCTTACCAAAGAGCAGAAAGAGTCCTGGATTCGGAAAAACAATCGATGTTGGTGTTGCGGACGCAGCCATCATGCCTCGAAATGCACCCTGAAATCCCCCTGTAAGACTTGCAACAGGAGACACCTATGCATATTGCATGACGTAAATGAACGGACTGTAGATTCCACTGAAACAGCCACTAAAGAGAACTCCTGTCTAGTTAACACCACCAAGGATGTCCTGTATGTTGATCGCCCAGTTTATAGCCGTAAAGTACTTTTGAAGGTGAGCAAAGTCATCATTACCAATGGAGACAAATCCATTGAGGCATATGCTGTTTTGGACGACGGGTCGGAGAGGACCATCCTGCTCCATACTGCAGCACAGGAATTAAATCTGAAAGGGCAGCCAGAGGACCTAATACTGCGGACGGTGAGGCAGGACCAACAGGTTCTTCACGGGGCGGCAGTCTCATTCACAGTGTCCCCTGTCAGTAACAAACACAAAAAATTCTCCATTCAAGGTGCCTTTACAGCAGAAAGACTTGGACTGGCAGAACAATCTCACCCCGTTGCTTCCCTCCAAAAGAGGTACTGCCATTTAGCAGGGCTACCCTTGCAGCAAATAGACAGAGTACAGCCTGTACTGCTCATTGGCTCAGATTGTCCACACTTGGTGACCCCAATTGAGCCAGTTCGTCTAGGCCCTCCAGGTGGACCCGCTGCTGTACGAACTCGACTAGGCTGGACACTACAAGGCCCAACACACGAGATTAAGCATGGCCGCAATACTCACCAATGCCTCTTCACCGCTATACCTCATAATGCTGAACTGTTTGCCCAAGTAGAAAGGCTATGGCAGATGGACGTAATCCCATACCGCAATGAGAAAGTAGTGACTCGGTCAAAACTTGATCACGAGGCTATCCGACTCCTACAAGAGAAAACTGTAAGAGTTAATGTGGATGGAATTATGCGATATGCAACACCACTGCTGCGTGTACAACATATGCCGACTCTGCACATGCCTAAAGAAGCTGTACTGCCACAGCTCAGAAGCATTGAACGTAAGCTGATGAAAACACCTGATCAGGTATGTGCTTACAAGGCTGAAATTGAGAGACTAAAGAATGCTGGTTATGTGGAGAAACTACAACCAGGTGAAGCTGAGAAATCACAAGAATCATGGTACATCCCTCACCATATGGTCACCCACAATGGCAAGAATCGTGTTGTGTACAATTGCTCATTTCAGTATGAGGGACAAAATTTGAATAAGCTGCTACTACCAGGTCCCACTTTGAGCCCCACCTTGCTAGCAGTGTTACTACGTTCCCGAGAACACTCAACAGCTCTGAGTAGCGACATACGAGGGATGTTTCATCAGGTGAGGCTGCTCCCGGAAGACAAATCCTTGCTTCGGTTCTTGTGGAGAGACATTGCTGTAGATCAAGCCCCAGAAGTGTACGAGTGTCAGGTACTTCCCTTTGGGACTACATGCAGTCCCTGCTGTGCAACATTTGCTCTCCAAAAACACGTACAAGACCACAGTCAACCCGGAGATCAGGTGAGGGAAGTGATCGAAAAGTCATTCTATGTTGACAACTGTCTTTACAGTCTCCCCTCCAAAGATGGAGCCAAAGATCTTGTTGATCAGCTTTGTGCCCTATTGAGTGAAGGAGGCTTTGAACTGCGTCAGTGGCCCAGCAATTGTCCAACAGTAGTCACTCACCTTCCCTGTGATATAAGATCGAATAACTGTGAGCTCTGGCTTAGTCAGGGACTGCAAGATACCCAAGAATCTACCCTGGGACTGCTCTGGCGCTGTCAGTCAGACACTTTGCACTACAAGCACAGGGAAGTGAACTGTACTAAAGTAACCATGCGCAGCATTTATTGTGTCCTGGCCAGCCAATACGATCCCCTTGGCTATATTATCCCCTACACCACAAGAGCGAAAATACTAGTGCAGCGTCTATGGGATAAAAAGCGTGATTGGGACGATCCACAACTGCCTGAAGATCTGCTCAGTTTATGGAATTCATGGGAGAAGGAGTTGTGTGAGCTAGACAAGATAACACTGCCAAGATGCTACTCCAGTCCAGACATGGATGTACCAACTAGCAGACGAGATGTACATGTATTCTGTGACGCGTCGGAGAAGGCTTATGGGTCTGTGGCCTATTTGAGGACAGAAAGCACAGAAGGACAGGTTGAAGTTGCCTTTCTAGCAGCCAGGTCACGTGTTGCTCCCCGAAAGCAACAGTCTATACCTCGCCTTGAACTGTGTGCAGCTCTAAGTGGTGCCCAGCTCTCCAAGGTCTTAGTCACAGAGCTCACATTACCCATCTGTTCCTTAACCCTCTGGTCAGACTCCACGACTGTACTTACCTGGTTATTGTCAAGTTCTTGTCGTTACAAGGTGTTTGTGGGAACACGAATAGCGGAAATTCAAGAACTCACAGCTTCTGCAAGCTGGCAATACATACGATCAGAGGACAATCCTGCGGATAGTATCCCAAGAGGAAAAAAGCTGTGTGACCTAGTCAAATGTAACCAGTGGAATCAAGGCCCCTCATTTCTTAAGCTGCCTGTGGAGACTTGGCCAGAGCAGCCATCCTTGCCTGCTGAAGAGCAGCAGCACGAACTAAGGCCAGCTGTGTTTTGTGGAGCAATTACAGTCACACCCTTGCCAAATCCACAGCAGTATGAGACAATGACTGAGTTCATAAAAGCGTGTAATCAGCAGCTATACGGGGCGGCCACCATTACATGTGCTGATGAACAAAGAAAACTGGAACAACTTGTTCTTTGTCAAATCCAATCTGAATCCTTCCCTACCGAGATGGCCCAACTAAAGTCCGGGAAACCAGTATCAGGTACAAGCCGATTGGCTTCTCTCTCTCCCGAACTTGACCCTACCACTGGTCTCATTCGGGTAGGTGGCCGTTTGAGACATCGCACAGAAGCAGAGCTGGACTGTATTCACCCCATAGTCCTTGACTCCCACCATCCTGTAACTAAACTCATTATTAAGGATTATGATGAGAAGCTACATCACCCTGGATCAGAACGAGTGTTCGCAGAGATGAGGAGAACATATTGGGTGTTACGAGGACGTGAAGCAGTTCGGAGACATCAGCATCAATGTGCAGAGTGTCGTAGATGGAAAGGGAAACCAGAAGTTCCCCTGATGGCAGACTTGCCACTTGCAAGACAACAGCTCTTTAAACCTGCCTTCTTCTCAACAGGGATGGATTGCTTTGGACCTTACCTGATTAAGATTGGACGGAGAAATGAGAAGTGGTGGGGCATAATATTCAAGTGCCTCACGACCAGGGCAGTGTATATAGATCTGTTGGCCAGTATAGATTCTGATTCATTCCTAATGGCCTTAAGACGTTTTATCGCTCGACGAGGAAAGCCATACGAGTTACTAAGTGATCAAGGCACTAACTTCAAAGGTGGAGAACGAGAGTTGAAGGAATCTCTTGGCGCCTTGCACAGCGAGCTCCAAAGTCATCTTGCCTCCCAACAAATTAAGTTTGTCTTCAATCCACCGGGAGCACCCCACTTTGGGGGATGCTGGGAGAGAGAAATACGTTCAATTAAAGCTGCTCTCCAAGTTACACTAGGGGCACAGACTGTGACGGAGGAAGTTTTAAGAACAGTCTTAACTGAGATTGAAGGGATACTTAACTCAAAACCGCTCAGCTACACATCATCAGACATTTCTGATGTAGATCCAATCACTCCCAACTGCTTCCTCATTGGCCGCAGAGATGCCTCACTGCCCCAGGTGGTGTATCAGGACTCAGGAGTGATAAGCCGACGCCGTTGGAGACACAGCCAGCTGTTAGCAGACCACTTCTGGAGGCATTTTATTAAGTACTACCTGCCCAATCTCCAAGTTCGGCAGGAATGGAAAGCAGAAAAGGAAAACCTGCAGGTTGGCGAAGTAGTGATGATTGTCGATCCTCAGCTCCCTCGAGCTCTATGGCCAGTGGGGAAAATCGGGCAAGTACATCCAGGAGCTGATGACAGAGTAAGATCAGCCACTGTACAAGTTGGAAGGAAAACATATACCCGACCAGTAGCACGTTTAGTTAAGCTGCCAACCCTTGTTGAAGATTGATCCACTTTAAGGAAAGAACCTTTTGTAAATGTGCGAATTCAATTATTGAATTCGGGGGCGGCTGTTCAAAAGGCTTCTGGAACATTCTCTTGCTGACTGATACGCAAGTGCATTGTCACTTTAATGGGCGGGACTTAGAGAAGGAAGAGAAGCAGGTGTGCAGAGCAGACAAAGAGCCCGAACTGAAATCGCTGCAAAGTTAAAGTTATCTTCTTCTCTGCTCACGTTTGCATGCAGATTAAGACAACCAATGATGTATATAGTTGTGCGTGCACAGAAAGTAAGTGTATTTGGTTTTGTTGATGTAAATGTCTCCTTATTTTAGATCGCGGGTGAAATGCGCCATAGCGCCATAACGCAATAGCGTCTAATGGCCGATTTTGGAGTTGTAACTTATAATAGTTGATAATTAGACTTGTTTTCATATGCAGTATACCTAATGCATGTAATGTTAACACTTTACATGTAAAATGTAATCGTTTCGTCGAGTTATTTACTACATATACATGTGAATTATTATTTCATTGGAAAATGTGCCTCAGCCACGTTTAGTGATCTATTGGCGCCCTCTTGCGGACAGTTAGGGAACAACTGCTCTAAATGTTTCCATTCATATGGTGCGGTTACTGTAATTTGTATTCATGTTTTATAATTATAAGTATTGTTATTTGATGTTCTAATTGTTATTTATATAATTACTTATGTGAGATTATTTTTGTATTGTTTCAGAAAACCACAACTTATCATCAGTAAATGTTCAACTGAGAAATGGAGTCTGAGTGAATTTCTTTGAATAGATGACAGTAAACAGTTCTGACCGACTGTCTGCAGGGATTCAGATACACCCGAATCAGTGTTAAATTAAAACCTCAGTTACACCAAATAATATATTTTTAGTTACTATAAACAACACCACTTACAATGAACAAATAAAAATAAGAAAATAATAAATAATGTGTCAAAGTCCAAATAAAGTCCAAATAAACATGGTGCAAATCCTCAATAAAAAATAGATATAAATATTTACTATACTATAAATAGTTACATAACGAAACTAGATTCAATATGGAACATCCTTAGGTTTTATGTGCCAGCATGGATATGGTTGTCTATGGATATGGATTTGGATATGGTTGTCTGCAATGCAGATAAACAGCTGCACCTTCATTTGCGTCTTTTGCGATAAACAGCAAGAGCAGCAGTTCGTCTTTGCTGTGTCACTGTTTTGTCATGTTTCTGTGCTGCTGTGCATGCAAAAGTACTTAGTATGAGAATTATTTCATGCAAAACTTTTTTTTTGGCGTTTTATTTAGCCGCGCATAAATGTATGCCTTTCTCTCATTCCGTGTTGTTCAAAAAGCTTGGTCCACAAACAAAAGCGAAACCTATGCTTATTGGTTGTGATATAGCGAGTTTGAACCAATCTGGGCATGGAGGAGGGACAATGCATCAATGTATCATGTCTGATTTGTCCGGAGACACAGTGACGAGCGTTTCTTTGTCAAATCAGCGTTGTCAAATGTTGATGACGTAATCGCACTGATTCCGGAGCCTCTGAAAGTCCGCGAATGTTATGTGATACAGCACTGGAAAGCTGAGATTCTCTTCTTTATGCCAATCTTTGAATTGTATGAATCGGATCAGCGGATCAAAAGTTATTAAACATTTAAGAGCAATACTTATTTTTAGCCGCGGGCGGCTGTCTCGGTCTTTAAGGGTTAAAACCGTTGATATGCAATTGTTCATGGTATGATAATCGTGCACGTTCAAATCGTGGTAAACCGTCATACCGGTATATTGTTACAACCCTAATCACAACACAATCTTACAGCAATTCATAACTTTTTGATATTGTGGCTAACTCGTATCAATTCGTACAATCTAATTCAAACAATTTAGTACGATTTGTTCATACCCCAATGACGATTTGGTTTAGGGGTGGGGTTAGGTGCCTCTTTTTAAAATTGTACAATTTCGTACGACTAAACTTGTACGAATTCGTACGAGTAAACTGACAAAATGTAAAATACTTATGTTTTCTCGTGAGATCAGGCTGAATATAACTGTAATTGTAATATACGATATATATATATATATATATATATATATATATATATATATATATATATATATATATATATATATATATATATATATATATTAGGGATGTGCGGAGCAGCCGGTATTTGTATTTTTATTTGTATTTGTTGAGGGGGGAAAAGTATTTGTATTTGTATTTGTATTTGTATTTGTTGAGGGGGGAAAAGTATTTGTATTTGTATTTGTATTCGAGTAAAATTCAAAATGGCGCAAAAATATATATTTTTTCTATTACACTTCTAATTTACATTATAGTGAAAGTATTGTTTAATTATACCCATTATATAAATTATAGACATGCAATATTGGTTGTTGTTTTTGAACATGTGACAAGAAATGTCATTGAAAAGAAAATAACATAGAAGCCATTATCTCATCCATGGTTAAACCAACAACTAATAAAATACCATTGTGAATATTATGAACCCCACCACCACCGTTCTTGTTGAAGGACACTGAATAGACAGAATAAAAACAAATAATTCTTCAAAAAACTGTTCTTCTTCTGAAAGAACTTCTTTCCAATGGACAGAATTCCAAAAACTAAACTTAACTAAATAAATCTAAATAAAACCCTGCCTGGGGGATCTGGCAGAACAAAAGTATTCTATATAATACTAAAAGATACAGCCCTGATATTGTCATCTGCCTGCCACAAAACAGACACAAAGTTTGTTTTTGTTTTTTGTTTTTTATGTTTGAAACTGACTTGCTGGGGCAGAATATGGCTGTGTTGATGGTTTGGTGCTTGTGGAGGATTTAGCAGAACATAGCTGTGCTGATTGAGGGGATTGATGCTTGTGGGGGGTTCACAGACAGTATCAGGAGAGGATGCTTTTAGTGCATGTGATAATACATTACATAGAAGGTTGCGCAGTGGCACAGTGAGTACCACTGTCGCCTCACAGCAAGAAGGTTGCTGGTTCGAGCCATGACTGGGTTCTCCCCATGTTGGCGTGGGTTTCCTCCGGGTGCTCCGGTTTCCCCCACAGTCCAAACACATGCAATACAGGTGAATTGGGTAAGCTAAATTGTCCCTATTGTATGTGTGTGAAAGAGAGTGTATGGATGTTTCTCAGTGCTGGGTAGCAGCTGGAAGGGCAGCCACTGCGTAAATCATATGCTGGATAAATTGGTGGTTCATTCCACTGTGGCAACCCCAGATTAATAAAGGAACTTAGCCGAAAAGAAATGAATGATTATGCATAGGAGATGTTGACAGATGTTTAATATCTCTGCCGACTTCACTTTTGCACACATTATAACGTTACAGTATCAGTTTGTTTTATCTGCAGCACCACTGACTGTAAAATTCTTCCACAAAGAACATGTTTTTTTTTTTTTTTTGACTGGTGGAGGACCAAGAAATGGCTCAGAAGCAGTCTCACTCTTTTTCTATTCGGGTGCCCAAATGTATTTGAGGAGTTTTAAGTTAATAAAAAGTGACGGTAAGCTATGCTAAGGTTAACTAGCCTATAGCATATATCTTGCTGTCTGCAAAAGACAGTAATGTAGACGTACCATGTAACTCCCATAAGTGCATACTATTCGACACAACTGCAAAAGCATCATTTTAACCTTTATAAACGAACGTTAACGTTACTCTGTCAACAGTCTATTGTCTAAATTACCGCGCTAACAGAGCTAACGTTGCGTAAACAGAGCACCCGGTTGCAAACTTCCCGATCCCGATCAAACTCCGCTACAAGATTATAAACTGCATCTGGAACCCAATTAAGGTACAAAAATCTATTTAACAAAAATAGTGATGCAGATAAGATTTTTTTTCGCTCAGCCGAGCCTTCTCTGTCTGTATCTGTGGAGAAGATTGTGCCAGACCCCTCCGCCCCGCCCTCCGACTGAGCGTCTCTCTCGCTCGCGCTCTCTCTCTCTCTCTCTCTCTCTCTCTCTCTCACTCTCACTCACGCGGGCATGCACTGTGGTCTCATGAGGAAACGCTGCTTTTTGATTTAGTGTTTTTCTTGCTTCTGAATACAAATAATTTTTCAAGTATTTGTTCGAAATAAGTATTCGAAAAAACACGCTATTTGTGCCTTTCTGAATACCGTATTCGGGTTCGGCTCCACCCTTAATACATATATATATATATATATATATATATATATATATATATATATATATATATATATATATATATATATATATATATATATATATATATGTATTACGGGTGTAACGATACACTCAGCTCACGATACGATGTGTATCACAATATAATGTTCACGATTCGATATGTATCACGATATTTGGAATAAAAATGTAAAATTTAACTGAAATGCAAATTTTACCAAGTAAACTATTTTTATATATTTCTTTTGTTTCAACTTGTTAAACTGAACCTTCTTTAAGAAAATAAATTAAACAGGCCTGTCTCTGGAAAATAACACAATTTAAAAACTTCTTAAAAAATATTATTAAAATGACAGAGACAAAATTAAGGAACAATTTAAGTAAAGGTGCAAAAAAATAAGCTTTCCATTCAATTGAATTTAACAGTAAGAGCTTAAGGCTTTGCTTGGTCACTTGTGTTTTTTCTGTGTGCAAAAAAAATCCACATTTCCAGGTAATCAGCAGTTCTATAAGATAATCCTGAACTTATGTGTATCTGTCTGAGAGGTTTTTATGGATGGCTGTCTTCATGTTGGGCATGACGAGTGACAGGGTGGCTGTCTTTTCATTACACAGGACAGTCGTGGCTCTTTTCAGCAGTTTAGGCAGGTTTACTATTTCTTCGGCGTCGCTGATGTCGGCACTATTAAGTGTATCATGTTGACGTGCATTTTTGTGTACCTCTGTACTCAAAAGGGTTAACGCTCGTCGTAATCATAACTCTAAAATGCGATATGATTATTTAAATAATGTGCACGTTTTCGGTTTCATTTCCACTGCTAAGTGCTGTTCATACTTCCCACGCGGCTCCTGAACGATCACTCTGTTCCACAAACTGAATGTTGTTTACTACTTTATTACCTGTTAGTCACAACCTGCAGGTTCTGTTCACTGAAGCAGACGCGCGCGTATGGCAAGCCGTTTTAGCATGTAAACCTTTGTTCTGTATGATTATATGAAGACAGAATGATATTTTAGGGTGAATTGTACCTTATAAATACAGTATGTGACTCCTTCAACACCATTAGGAGGTAACCATGTCGCTGTGCAAAGTATGTAAATCACTGTGAAGACTTTATAACTTAGGATGTTTGACCCAGTATGCGTGTCAAAAAGCGGACGAGTCTAAAGCAATGACTGTACAACCGAAATGTTGCCAGACGTCTGATTTTGAGAGGATGGGCCATCCTCTATTTCAGCTCCACTCATCTTGGTCTGCTAACATTACTGCTGCTGCAATCTGAACTCACGTGCGACAGCAGGTGGAACGTAGCTCACGTGCAAACAGCTCAACTAATAAGAGAAAACGGATGTCATATCGTAATCAAATCGTCATAACGCCACGATGCATATTGACACATTTTTGCATCACAATAAATCGTACAACGATAAATCGTTACACCCCTAATATATATATATATATATATATATATATATATATATATATATATATATATATATAATTGTAAATGTCTATTTAATAACACCCTGTAGACATTCACGAATCCCAATGTAGCATTATTAACTACAAACTATAGT